CAAAAAAAAACCACCAAAAGGAGAAAAGTGGAAAAGCGGATGTTAACCAACGTTTAAGGTTTGCGAAAATTACGAAAACCTTCTCCAAAGTCCCCCTAATTTAAGGTTTGTTTACAAAACGTAATCATAAATAATTAATTTTTTTAATTTTTTCTGATTTTCCACCCAAAAAATGTAGTATTTTGGTCGTAAAAACGGAAATAGTGATCCAAATATGGATTGTCATACCTTTCTAAACTCGTTACTAAATTTCCAATCGATTGGCATATTAACCTGGAAATTTTTAATTTTTGCCATTTTTCGAAAAAAAATTATGATGTACCCCCTTAAAAAAAAAGTGAAAATTGACGAAAATTTTATATCTCCAAAATCATACGGAAAGTATTATAGATTTATTAATTATTTTATTATTTGTTCAAAACAGTATGTATTTTTGGTGTAGGACCATTTTTGACCAAGTTACAGCCAAAAACAAAAAGGAAAAATTCATTTTTTACCAAATACCCAGATCCCGAACTTTCCTCCCAAAAAGAATTTGTTTTTTGGCCGAATTAATGGAAATAATGATTCAAATATGGATTTTTATCCCTTTCAGAACTCGTTATTAAATTTCCTTATTTTGCTTCATATAACATTTTATTTCTAATTACTAATAGTTTTACATTGCACTATGGGGAAAAATTCCGTTTTTTTGGCATAAACTCTAGTTTTAAAGATAGGGCCTTGAAAATTATAATATATACTCCTTATGCACAAATAGAATTTCGGTTTTTTCCATTTTTTGAAAAAACCTTACGGTTGTAAAAACACCACCCACAGCCACCCACCCACCACCTCCCCATTATGGTCAACCCCCTAAAAATTTGTAAGAATATTTTTTTTATTAATAAAAAACATTTTTATATAGATAACTTATGTAAGATATAATATTAATAAAATAAAATTTAATTATTCTCCATCGAAACTCTCTGAAACAAGCAAGAAAGTTAAAAAATTGGGTTTGTGTTATGGTGTGTTTGCCATACCTAGACACCAACTTCAATCATTCTTCTTCAGGTTCTGCTTCCAAATAAACACTATCCAAATCAAAGAAATTGATTTCACCATCTTCGTCTTCCTCCGTACTTTCAATATCGTTTGTAACATCGGAATTCATATGCAGCTAAACAGTGATTTATTGAAAAAGGGGCAAAAACGGGCAAAAAGCAATGATAACACCTGTTTCTTTATCATTTTGTTAATACATTTATAATACAACCTTGCGTCGATCGGCGTAGATTCTTAACTAAAGCTTAACAGAACACAATAACTTTTGTTAGTTTTCGGCTAAAAGAGACATACACAAGACATTAAACAACAGGACAATGCAAACAGTTACAACACAATTTGTTTTGAGAAGTATTTAAGCATACCTTGACGTAAATTTTCCATATTTTTGTTTATTTTTTCGCCCTCTGAACACTTTGCACGACGATGGGAAACTTTGGAGTAAAATTAGCGCGCTTTTTTCTTAGAGATGAGCACGTTAATCGATAGACTTTGATAGGCTACAACAAATTATCGGTGGCACGTAAAATTTTTTTTTAAATTGTTCTAATAAGTTTAACCGTTTTACTATTAAAATAAAATATTTGTTTTTTAAATTAGTAACTTTTATTTTTTGCGTTTATGCCAAAAAAACGGACTTTTTCCCCATAGTGCATTGCCTAATTTTTACTTTTCTGGGTGAAATGTGCTTCTGACTCACATCAAGTTAGCTTTCAATATCTACAAACAAACCCACAACTCATTAATATCGACAGCCAATCGGAATTAATCTTCGTTTTTTCATAATCAAAATCACATCAGGGCTTTCGGTTTTTGGGCCGCGATCTGAACTAGTTTAATATGGATTTTTGAGCTGAAAAACGGGAAAACAAATGCTTCGAACTGGAGCACAGTTGTTTTTATGATTTGCCCGGGGGGCAACCAAAGCCTAAGGTTGATTTGCTCGATGGCCAAACGGGGGAAAAAATGTATAAAAACTGGAAGGGAATACCCCGTGGGCAACGGCGGCAGCGACTCAGAACATTAATCTCGCGAGTCTCGGCCGGGAAATTAAAAATAATAAAGCACTAAATGGAAAATGAAGCGAGGCTAGAAGCGAGGAGGAATGGGTGGAATTGGATGGGCAGGGAGCCACCTCAGATGCAGCAATTCGCTCTGCTTGGCTGCGTCCTAGATTCTCCCAGTTTTCCCAGCTTTTCCCCGAACTTGTTGCGTGTGCCTGCCCGGCCGAGTTGATTTCCTTGTTGTGCTGTGGTCACTCCACACTAACCACTGGCCACCAGTCACTAGTCACTAGCCACTAGCCTCTGGTGGGCGTCGTTCGAGGAGGAGGCGGAGGAGCCAGCAGCACGTGGCTATGACACTGAAAAAATATACCATTAATATTCCACAGAAAATATTATTTAATTTAAAAAACATAAAAGTAAATTAGAGCACAAAATTCACATTATTATATCTACTTTTGTATTTATAATTAACAAGCCACCGAAAATAAATACTACATCAGTTTTAAATTTAGAAAATATTGTTCCCACTTTTATTACATGGCAATTGAGCTTTTTTATACATTTTAACAAAGAAAATATAATTATTTTCTACATTATTTTTTGAAGACAAAAATAATTTGGTTTCTTTAAGTGCATTTACTGGTTGTACTTACTTCAATTGCCGCTGCCTGGTCAACAAAGCGGAACAATGGGCGGCCGAGGAGCCGAAGACGAGGCTTTGAAGACCAAGCCTATCAGCCATCGAGCATCCACATCCACTTCCATATCCACATCCACATCCCAGCTGCACCACCAGGCAGCCACTTGCACCAGCGATTTTCTAATTAAATGTTGCCACAAGCCAACTGCCTGTTTTGATTTTGATGTTAGCTAACCGGAGGGAAAAAAGAGAGATGTTTGGCAAGATCGAACATGGATCAATCCGTGAACTCGACGCTTTGACATGGCCGAAAAATTTCAGCTTAGCTGGTCCCCCAGGGCATTCAATGCGACACAAATGCCAGCTTCTTCTTCTCCGTCGTGTGCAAAATGGAGCAATCAAAGTTGGCCGGAAAAGTGCGGAAATGTGCGAAAATAGATCAGGCTAAATAATAAATTATATTATTATAAAATATTATTACTTTTTCAATAGCTATCTGTATTTTATGTATTACATTCCATAAATGCAATTATTTTTACTTATTCATTTGATTTTTATTTAAATAATACTCTTACTTTATTTTACGACTACTTTATTTATTTACTATTACTAATTTATTGTAATCTGTATTATATTTTGCATTGCACCCAAATATTTCTAACTATTAATTTCATTATTTTTTACATATATAATATTCTACTTTATTTAGCGTCTAGTCTATTTATTAAATGTAAATATTTCGTTTTTATATTTTTAAAATGACAATGAAAAATATTATAACTAATTTAATTGAAATCGGTATTTTAAGTATTCTATTTTTCCATAGATTTCTTTAATTATATTTATATTTTAATTTTAATTTCTTTAATGCTCCACTTTATTTTACTAACTCATCGTTTTTGTATCTTTAAAATATATTTTTTATCTACTCTATTCGAGCTGGTTGATCTAACCATTTTATCTGTTCCATATAACGCCGCTTCAATCGCTTTTCGCCCGAAGCACCCTGCCAGTGGTCACGCCAGTGGTCTTCTCCAGTTTCCAGATCGTGTGGAATGCTCGACTGCACTTTGCTCGCAACCCAATTCGGTGTCACATGCTCCCCCGATCCGCGATCCCCGATCGATTTTCGATCTTGGCCAGAAGTCGGCTCACGATGATCATTAGCATAAGTCTGGAGCATTTTGCATTTGGCCCACATGTGTCACACACATAAAGCGCATAAAGAGCGAGGCGAACTGTGCGTTGGCCGTTGGACATTAAGAAATGTGGAGGCAGAAAAAAGAACTGGGATGCTGCAGTGCATCCACGAATCTGGCTCTTCTGTTCGCTGCTCCAATTTCCTGACCATTTGGCTTACTTTGCGCCGGTTCGTGTGGCATGCAAATGCAGCATTGTGCAACGTCGCTTGTCCAGTGTTTAATTTCCAACAAAGTCAGTCGTTCTACGTTGTCCATCCAGTTCCAGGTGCACAACTCCACAGGTCCGCAGCTCCAGCAGGTTACCAAGACCAGATCCATCGAGGAATTCTTCTAAATTGGTCCACTCACTCACACTCACACACAGGCGCGTAGAAATGGAGGAAGAAAGAACGGTGCACTGGGGCAAAATGTCATCACAAATCTTCTAGCTAATCTAGCTAGGAAATTTGTTGTATTTTATCTTACGTTTAAAATATATTCATTTATTTTTAAACCTTTAACCTTTCTGCTCCAAAATGGTATTACTTTTATTTTAAAATGATCACACTTTTTTGTAGTCTCAAAATTTATACAAACAGAAGGTATAAAAAAATAAAATTTATATAATATATTATTATTCTATATATTTACAATATTTCATCGAATTCCTTTTTGTTCAAAACTAAAAATAATACAAATAAAGGTTTGGGAATTATACCACAACTATATTGTTTATGCCTTTAATTCTAGTTTAAAATTCGTCACTGTCCCCAAAAAGTGTGGAATAGATAAACCTCCGTTTCTAAAGTCTCCGATTTTTTCTTGGTGCTCCGTTACAGTTGCATAACCTGTATTAGTTGTTATTACCGTTTCGGAGATGATGGCCCGAGAACCGAACCGATTGGCTTGGCCATTGATCAGCGGGCCCTGAATTCTTGGTTGGCACAGAGGCGGGGGTATTGAGAGGGGGTTTTGGCAGTTGGCACTTGCCAAAAGCGCAGCAAGTGCTCACGCATGCAGCTGCTTAGCCGTCGACTGAGGCAGCGGCAGCGACGCCGACTGCGGCAGAGACAGGTAAAACCAGGTAGCTTACAAGACGCATGGCGCGACGTCTCCAACTTTCAGTTGCTTTCGAGCTGCACAAGGCGACGGTTTAAGTTTTTGGCGCTTACTGGGTGAAAAACGAGAAAGAGAGAGAGAGAGAGACTGTCTCTGCAGAGAGCCCCAAAGAGAGCGAAAAGTGAAAGACCGAGAAACCAGCGAAGAATTCTTCGTGCGCGCTCGCCGACTTCAAATAACTTCAGTCGCCCTGCAGAATTCCCAGCGATCGGTTCATGCAGCGGATTATCGCGCGTCGCGAACCATTAAAAATATTTTTACTTTAAAAAATATATTATATTTTTTTCAAGTTCGGTGCTCTCGTGCAGTGTGATCTTTTTTTTTTTTTTTGGTTTATCAAATATCAAGTATCGAGTATCGAACCCCCCACTTCCTGGCATGTCGTTCAAACAATCCGAAACTCGTGCCCAGTGCTAAAATCCCAAGGAAGTTCACAAGTGTGCCAAAACAAATTGCAAAGTCCAGCGAAAACCCCCAAGAAACCAATATAATAAACCACAAATAAATAAGAAAATCAAATAGAATAAAAACACAAACTTAAATAAACGGACGGACAGCAGGTGTGAGCGAGAGAGCAACAATGCACCGCACGCAGCCGTCGCTGCCTCTGCCGCTGCCTCTGCTGGCGTTGGCGTTGGCGTCGGCGCTGGCTTTTGCGCAGGCGCAGAATATAGGTGAGTGTGTCAAGCGAAAGACGAAAACAAGAAAGAAGTGCTGCGAAAGGTGCCAGAACGAACGGCGGATGCCCTGTTCTTAAAGGGGGATTCGGGTTTCTAGGGAAGAACCCCCAAAAAATCATCAAAAACTCATTGGTTTCATTAGAATTCTGCGCTAAAAACAAGCCCTTGAAAAAAACATATCCAAAAAACCTGAATCTATGGGAAAGCACTTCTTTTTAATACATTTTGTTAAAAAAATATCAAAAAAGAAAAAAATGCTGAAAAATGCACCTAAAATATAAAAATCTTAACAGATCCCAAAAGGAAGTTTTTGTTTATTAGTAAAATTTGGTTAATTTATCACTTATTTTCACTGACCAAAGTCAAATAATTATTTTAATTTATTCTTTTTGCTTATAAATGTTTCTATCAGGTAGAATCTCAACTAAGTTTTAAGTAAGATCAGTTCTTTAAGTTCCCTTTGAGCTGTTTTCAAGCAAAACATTTAGCACGGCACATTTAGAGAGCTCTGCAATCAGAAAACACCTTCAGAAATCGCATTTAACCACAGCCTTGACATGTGGGAACTTAAACTTTTAGGGCGGTTAGTTTTAACACAAGATCATTTGCATAAATTATGAAAGCCTAATTAGTTGGGGGCTTAGCTTTGAATTCATTCAGAAAATCTTCCGGCACAATGACAATGCCATTCGTCAGTGTGATAATCCGACTGAAAGGCACTTAATTTAAGATAAATATTTTTGAGTGGGATCTATTTCGCTGCCAAACTAAATACTAGTTGCGTATGCCCCGTTCTCTAGGGTATTCGAATAAAAACCGCACCAACGGCACTCGGAGCCAAAGCAAACAAATTTTCTCTCGTTCTCGTTTGTTGTGGATCCCACTTGTTGCTGTCTTTCTCCGCCGCAGTTGCTGTTGCCCATTTTCATCACCCATATTTCTTTTATTTTTTGTCGTGTGTGTGCAGAGCGCACCTCAAAAAAAGCACCGATTCTCTTTCCCTGTTTTATTTTTTCACATTTAATTTTTATTTTGTTTTTGCATACATTTTTTCTGTTTTTTTCGGCTGATTGTTGCTCTTTTTGATTTCCGGTTCTGGTTCGAAACAAAAGCCAGGTCTTTTAATTTGTATTATTTTTAATTCGGCTGCCTTTGCATTTTTCCCACGTTAATAAACGGGCGTCCAGGCAGAGGCAGTCGGCCAACTGGACAGTTGGCCATATATATTCCAGTTCCAGTTTCGGTTCCACTCCCAGTCCACTTTTGGGTTCCAGTTTTTCAGTTTTTAGTCAAGTGCTCGCTGCCGCCGCTTAATTGTTTCGTGGGATATGCGACGAAAGGCGAAAGGGGGCGTGCCACTCGGGCATTTGCCAGGAAACGGATGTTTGTTTGGGTCAGCAAACAATCGGCGACGACCGAAGTCGAAGCCAGGCTAACCCAAATGTGGCACGCCAAAGAGTTGGGCAACCAACTTGCCGCATGCACGTGGCAAGTGCACATATTATTTTGCGTTTAATAAATGTAAACTTACATTTTATCGCTTAGAATATTTTAATCTACAGTTGATTTAACCAATACCTTTCTCCAATTTAAATGGTTTATAATCGGAAATAATTGGTATAATCAAAAGATTTAATCAAAATACAAATGAAATATGTACAATCAAAAGACTTAGGCAACAAACTTTTTTTCTCTTCAACTAAAAAGACTTAGGCAACATACTAAAACACAGTGGTAAATAATACAGAAAATAAAATAGGATTTAAAAATATTTTTTGATATTACATTTAAAGATAATTTTAATATTACAACCAAATAATATTTGTTAGAAATAAAAGAAAATCAACTTTCCAAGCCAATTTCTTGCTTGTTCATTACTCCAATGACCAAGTATCAATATTTTTTTCTGGGTCACACAAGAGAAACACACCTGTCACCATTACTTGTATTCAATTACACCTGTAACATATCGAATTGCAGCCAAGAACCCAAATTAGTGGTAGGAAAAAGGGCAGTCATAAAGGCAGAAACTTTTACTCATTACTTTTGCCACTTTTACACTTGCGCCGGAGGAAAATCTTGTAAATTAACTTAAATTAATCACACAGACACAAAGGCAGAACATACAGAAACTGAAATTAAAAGAAAATTTATGATCTGCGGCGGAGAGCCATTCCACAATAAAAGCGACAACAATTGCAGCTGGTTGGTTGTCCGCAGCGAAAGAAAGAAAGACAGACTGAATAAAAAAATCTGTACAAATCTGTAATGTTGGGAAAGTTTTATACACAAGTATATACGCGAGTATCTGAAGCTTTCCTTCGTATTGTTGACAAAAAGAAAAGTAAAAGTGCTGCCGCTGCTGTTGCAAAGATGGCGAATCGCTGGCTGGGATGATCGAGCACATGCCCAACATCTAATGGCCAAAACGTAATATGATGAGGAATGGCTATGGCTTTGGGTATACAGATGGGTTGGAAGATGGCTATAGAGTTGGGATGGGCATGCATGACCACCAGCTCATCATAATCATCATCAGCGGCAGCGGCAGATGCGGAAGCTCGGAGCCCGCTTAATTGCAATGCGAAACTCCGAAAGAAAAGATACTCGTACCTTTGGTAACTTGTATGGTAGATACCTGAAAACAGATACCTCTTGCTGCACAATGAACCGCAGCAATTTGCTTGCCTGAAAGGGTGGTGCACGCATGCCTGTCTCCTTTTATATTTTTTTTTCATATTTTCCTTGCGGTCTTTGCGGTCGCCGTTTTTACATAAGACCTGGGCCTTTCGCCACAAGGAAGTAGGAAGTTTTTCTTTGTCGGGCTGGAGAAACAACCTCTGTGCGTGGGACTACAGACCTTCGTTTTCACTTTCAACTCCCGATAATAATAATAATAATGATGATGATGTTGCCCATGCGGGTGACACTGCCTGCCAAAAAATACTTAGTTTCAAAAGTCCAACTTGAGCATGTTCGACTTCACCTATTTACGCAACTTTTTCGACTTTGTTTATATACTTTTTGTTTGGAATTTTTTGTTAATTTTTTCCTGGCACGTAGGTGGGCTGCGCGTGGGGGGTGGAGTGTTTGAGTATTTTTCAGGGGGCTGGGCATTGCGCAAAAGCTGTCAATGGCCTTGCCGGGTACCCATGCACTCGATATGTAAATCATCGCCATGGGTAGTGACGAGCATCAAAAGTAAGTCACAAGAGACTGAATTCATTTGGACTACTTACAGTTTTAGTGGAAAATCTTGAACGAAATGTCTCGCAAAATCCACACGAAACTGGAAATTTTAAACAATATTTTAGAAAAAAATTTTAACAAAAATTCTTAAGTAATCAAAGAGTTAAAGAATGGTTTACAAATTTTTCTATAATTTAATAACAATTGTAATTTAAATTTTAAAATTAGTTGGAATGAATCACATCTTTGTCTTTTATTCTTATTATATTTTCTCGTAATAAATTCCGCTTGTTGTGTGATTTTTTTATGCGAAAGCTTACACCTTAGTTTGTTTAATGAGTTGTCTCTGCCCAAATGATTTCATGCCGAAAGCTGAAGGAGTGTCTCTGTCATTATCCGCACTGATCTGATCTCATCGCAACTCATCCCCAGACAGGGGCCATAGATCTTTTGGCTGTCGTTTGACTCGGGGATTGCGGCATAAATTTCAATCAGTTTCGATGCCATTCGCTTCTTTTCAGATTTTTATTTGTGGGCCGGGCATCGCCCCATCGCGATTCTCAGGCGTGAGCGGCGTGGCAGTATCTTTTTAATTGCCATAAACATAAATGGCATACTGCAGTTAAATATTTTTCATATATAGTATCTTGATCTCCCCGCGAAAAGACACCAACAGCACCAACGGTCGGTCGGTGGGCAACTTTCGCGTTTTGTTTGCTGGCTGAGAGATGTGAGATGGTCGTGTGTGAAATTTTAATGTCGCAGTGAAATGCTCGAAAAGTGAAACTAACGTCTAATAAATAAATGAAATTGTTTGCTATTAGCAGCGCATTTAAATGCCACCAAGAAAGCGGCGGCGAAAGAGATACATGGTGGAAAAAAAATGGGAAAAGAGCTGGGGAAAAATGTTGGACAGAATTTATGCGCGTTATTTCTCCTTTTCTTCTTTTATTTATTTATGTTTTTTGTAATTTAATTAATTGTAATATATGTACAAGTGCAACTGTGCCGTTGTGGCCACTGCAAATTGGCCACCAACGTGATTCACGACTCTATTCGTCGACAATCCAATGCCAGTGCAAAGGCAAACAATTGAAATTGTTATTAATAATTGCTTTGTTAATAACTTTAAACGCTGTTCGTTGTGTTGTGTTGTGCGTTTCGTCACTGGCCCAAAAAGACGCTTGCAAATTGCCATCGAACGAAAAGTATGAAAAAGTAAGAAAACGATCGTGAAATAGTGACGTTTCGAGAGTGATTGATAATTTGGCACAGCTGTCGTTAATTATCGATCGATCGATCGATTGCACTGATCGAGGTCTCAAGTGTGAAAAGTTAACCAAGGTGTAGCTAAACGATTTCATGAGTGACTACTGTTTTTTTGGTTTTTTTTTTACAATAATTGGATGGGTTTCAAAATGAAAATTATAAACAGTTTTTTTGTAATAATTAATAATAATAATTAATAATTAATAATTACAAGGGACAATAAACATAAAATATAATAATTACAAGATTTTAAAAACTTTAGATATATTTACTTTTGTAATGTTTATTTTTTAGATACATTAAATCAAATATTTATCATATATACATTTTTTAAAAAGGTTTAAATTTCTTTTATAACTATTCAAGAAATTATAAATGTACTTTTAAAATATATTTTGCTGAGATATAATAATTTAATCTTCATTTTTATCGATGGCTCCGAACTGCCTGGCACTGCATTTCGCCTGAGCCTTTTTTAATATTTTAGCCATAACGATAACACTTATAATAACAATGGCCATAACAATAACCATAGA